CATGACTATGTTAGATTTCATATTCATCCTTTCACTTGATCTCCTTAAATAAGTTTACAGAAATGTTGCTTCATGTATAATAATTAAACACGTAATGTTTAAATGAAACTAATATTTTTCGGATTAGACTACGAGTATTTGCTTATGCTGAAAAGTAACCGAAAGGTCGGGAGTATGTAGTTTATACAATAATAAAATACGCGAGTAATCCGAAAAAAAAAAGTTTCATTTAAATGAATACTCGCAAAAGTCTTACATATAATTACATAATGTTTAAATTTCTTGTCAATTTATATCTAATAGACCTTATCTATAGCATTACGACGATATCTGAATATATTTCACCAATAAAAAATGCATTTCATATTAAAATCTTAGGTACATTTGACGTTGTATGTAATTTATAAGCATGGTAACATAATATAAGTATACAAAACATAAATAAGAATCAAAAGGAAGCGAGCGTCTCAAACTGGTATAATCCTAACAATTTTCTAACGCCGGCCGCCACCTGTCGTTGTACTTTTTAATCCTGTTAGTTGTTACTTACCATACCTTATATATGTAGTCGTCTAGAATTACGCCATTACACTCGCCACAGATCTTATATGTTTAGAAAGGATTTTTTTATAATAAACTTAGTAGACATACATATTTTCGTTATTTTAAGGAAAGAATACTGATCATAATACATATTATTATGGTTCAAGTCTAGAAGAAAAGTCGTATAGATACTACGAAACTATTTTTATTACTAAGGGTTTAAGTTAAAATTACTTATTTAGTTACAAATGTTTGCAAAAAACTTTAAGCAAAGCCATACACAAAGATTACAGGCCTTTTTTCCGCGTTCTATTAGTATGTGATGAATAAAAAGAAAATCGATGGAAATAATTGTTTTTCCTTACTTTTAACATCTATCCAGCGAGAGACGAACAGAAATTAATACCTAAAAGTTTGTGGAACTTTCTGGAACATCCGATTAAAGTGTTTGGCAGAACATTCCATTGCTACATCTATGGTCGGTCATAGTCCTATGGCTAATAGTGATTTGAGCTCTAACGCTCGTCCTGTCACCTGCCCCGGCATTCCTCGCCGTGATTACACTAAACACCTGCGCTAGAGATATGCGCTAGGAAACAAACATACACACATATAACATAGAAAACAGGTTGCTCATATAAAACACTCATAAGAAATTGTGGTGATGTTTTATTTGTTTTCTCTCCGTTCCTACTTGGATGCTTCCCAAAATCGAGCCGGTTAAATGTTCACGTAGTTCCAAGTTCACGGATGTTATAGAAGACAGCGTAAAGGCTTAACATTTCTGTCAAATATTAATGATCATTTCATTTAATAATGCAATACAATAAGAGATTCTTGTATACCGTAAAAAATATAGTAGCTACCTAAATAAGTAGAACAAGAATTTATTAGTGTTTCAAACTAGCTTTCCGCCCGCAGTTCCGCCCGCGTAGATTTCGGTTATATCGCGTTTCCAAGAGAACCTTTCAAAAGTGTGATATAAAAACTATCCTATGTTCTTTGTCAAGGTCAACTCTATGTCTGTACCAAATTTCATTAAAATCAGTTCAGTGATTTCGGCGTGAAAGCGTAACAGACAGACAGACAGACAAAATTACTTTCGCATTTATAATATTATAAGGGATTCGAAAAACAGAATCTAAAATGAATCTCGCATATATTTTTCTACTCATCGTTTTATAACGAATATTTTTTGTTATAATCATTAATGCCTCACCAAATACGGCTCTTTCAAGCCTCTTGTGATCAAATTCAAACACAACTGACAGTTCAAGGCGAATGGTATATTATTTGGCCTCGAGTTAATAATGTAATTACTACCAATAACTAATATACGTTTAGATGATTTTATTTAAATATAGTATCAATTGGGTATAAATATAGTGTTTTTGATACGTATTTTTTGTTAGATTTATATAGTAGATACTTTAATATGTTACTTACAGTCAACAATGTATCGAGCGGTCTTAGGCATAGTACTTCATACTTTATTTCATAGGTTTTTAATATATGTATATGTACTATATAGAATATAATTGAATTGAATTAAAACTTGTTATTAACACCTTAATTATGGATTTTAGTATATAAACTAAGTGAGACTAACATTGTATGATCTAAAGAATGAATTGAGTTGGTTTTAAATTATTGTCATAGATAAATTTTTTTTATGAGATACATATTATGTAAGTAATGATGTTATCTCTTACAGAAATCTGAGAATTATTGCGAGATGGAAATTCAATACAAAATTAGTGGTAAAATTCTTTTCCAAATCGTTTTTTTTTTGTCAATTTTTTATATGAATCCTTGTAAGTTAAGGTCTTATATATATTACATATCTGTCAAATGTTACAAAATATATATTTTTTAAATGTATATTAGACTAATATTATTCCTCTATAGGAATAGTTTGAAACTCGAATCTCTCTATAATATAACCGTCTCCGTCACTGGTAATATCCTGGTACATCTCTTGATTTACATAAAAATGCACAGATAGTGTACATTTTATAGATACGGATGTAATTTATTTCTCGGCCGGGTCACTTGGAGGCCATTATTCACGGCTGTCACTGTCAACTGACGGGCCGGTGGTTTAATAACAAGGTAATAATACCTCTTTGAAGAAAATTTTTAATCTGTCCCCGCATGCTGACAACATGAAGATTTCGATCAACACACTCATTATATTATTATGTTGGTAATTAATTGTGTACGTATCTCTTTTATTATTTTGATCAAAAATACTTATTTCTCAAAACCAGTATTGTTCTTACATTATTATAATATTAATATTTTCATCAACGCATATTTTAAGATGACCATTAAAGATAAAATAATTTTTAGTTGTATAATAAATTATTCATGTAATCTGTATTTTGAAATTTATAATCGTTTTGCAAAATATTTGACATATTTTTATACGTATGTGCCAAGTTTTAATTACATAATTACTTAAGCGAGATATACATTTCTGACAAGTGATTAACTATTTAGTAGAACTATTTTAATTGCCATAAAACTTTTAACACTCAGTACACCTGGACAATTTAATGTGTCTGTTTAAGATTACTGAATATATATTGTGATAGAATAACAAGCTTTATATATATACAGTTACTGTCTAAAAACGCTTCACTAATATATTTCTTAGAATTAGTTCTGTGTTTAACAACTTTAATTAAAGAGGTGTCACATTCAACATTGCCTTTTTAAAGAGGTGTATATTTTAACTTTTATGAATATAATTATATTTATACAGAATAATTATGATATATGTGTTTTTTAATCTTTCCTATACCTGCGTGTGTACACTACCTATGTAATTGTTACCTCTGTGTCATACTAAGTTGCCTTTGTCATTATCTTAGTAAATTATAATAATAATTATAATTGGGATTAATTTTGTTACATACCTATATTATATTATGTAACAAAATTAATCAAAACATTACAAAATTCAAGCCTTCCAAGCCTAAGCATACTTTAAACTCCCTGTCTATGCTATTCTATTCTCATCTTCATTACGTACTAAATAAAAAAATTCAAAATTATAATTCATATAAATATTTAGTTTAATAAGAAATTAAGTGTCTGGAAGCTTGACATTTGTGTATAGCTTTCCACAATAACAGCTTAACAAAATATACATATGTACGATTTTGATATTATTCTAAAACAATTATGTAAGTCTTGGGTTTTTACGAGCAACTGGTTTGCAAAATCTACCAGAATTCGTTGTTAGACGGCCGGCCAAGGAATGTTGTCAGGAATTAATCTTATTTAGAACCTCCAGCTGTTGATAAAAAACTCACTTATCGCTAGGCGAATACCAGTTTTTTTATTGTTATTATTAGCAATGTTTTGATATTCAATAGATTTATGTTAATATGTATTTAGGTTTCGTTTCTACGTAGCGTTGTATGTCTTTAATAGTAAATAATTATCGGGATGTACTAAGATAATGTTTTGAATTTAAGTATGGTTATTTGGGTATGCGCCTAGAGTACTACGAAAGCAATGGAGATATTAATATATCTTATGTATAAGAAAAACAAAATAAAGAGTTATTTTGAATTAGGTAAATAACTCAAAAAATACACGAACTCTATTTCTTTTGATGTTTACAAACATTGTTCACATTTTAACTACAAAGTTACTTTATAAGTTACTGCTACGCTATAAGTAATATCGTAATATCATAGTTCTTGGTAAAGTCATGTCGGTTAAGAAAATTAATAAAAGAAATACCATGTCCGAAAGTAGTAGCCTCGGCGACGATGAGGCGGCCGCACACCTGCGACTGCGCATCTCGACCACTACAAACAATTTTAAGACTTATTACAAGTAAATAGAGTTTATATTTGAAAGACCACCGTGGATACTCTCATTACGAATCACGGATGTAACAAACAAATGTATTCAAAACTCTGTGACTTTACTAGCAAAGACGGCTTTATGTTCAATTTTTTTTCATTCTTAGTGACCATACAATGAAATGTAATGGTTGCTGCTGTATCTTTTTGTTTTCATATCATTGGTTAAAGCTGCCTTTTAAATAATAACATGCTTTTATAAAGACCTTTACGGACTGTGTTTTCGAATTAAGAGACGCGAAGGATTTACAGATGTTGGTTACATCCTTTCACTTATGCTAAATCAAAACTTTCCGTTCTCAGTCATTACCGAAAACTTTACTAGATGGCGCTGTATCAGTCATTCTTCCATAACGAATTTGTTAATTCCTAATTTCAATCTACAATTCAAAAATAACCCTTTTATTCAAGATTAAATATTTTTTCCAAAACTGGCCCGGTTCACTTATAAATATTAAAAAATATTATATCAATTAAAAACGTATTAGAATATTAAAAAAAACTTTAAGAATTTGAAAATCTGAATCGCGCTATAGAAGTTTTTTCAACGATCTGTATATATACAGAGCTTCTTAGTTATTTGATGGGAGTTCCATCCAGTTCAGCTGTCGGGGTTACATACGAATCTCTATGGTTCTCCTCACCCTGTGGAAAGTCCCCGGAGACAAGGCGGAAAGCGTCACACCGTGAAGGTGCAGGCCGGTGCGGCGTCGTAGGGTAGGTCGACCTGCGCGATGTCGCTCCGTAGCGTTGCTCAGAGCACAGGGAATGTTGAATGGACTCTGTCCATAACCAAATGGGGCTTACTCGGAATGGAACTTCTACTTTTTGGACATTAATAATTTCAGCTAAATATAAAAATAAATAACAAAATATTTTTTATACCATTTTATTTGAAAGAAAAATACATAGGGACAAATAAAAATATATTAAATTTTAATTGCCTCCAGAGAGATTTGAACTCTCGACCCCTGGTTTACAAGACCAGTGCTCTAACCCCTGAGCTATGGAGGCCTCGATCACGTTGCCTAAATTATCAAATGGAACATTTTAGCACCCTAATAAAATACAATTTGACATTATTTTGGATGGATATAATGTATCACATTATCTATACAAAAATGATAAAATTCTTGAAATTATATTGTTAACATACATTCTTTTTATAATTTAATTATATCAAACGACTGTACTACACTGATAATAATTCTTATGAATGCGATTTTATTTATTAAGTTATCGAGATTCCAATACGTCTTTATATTATTATTGCTAAAGATTTTGATAGTTTAAATTAATTTTCTTTTAAGTGTCCATGCTTGATACAGTTCTAAATTATTTCTTTGATAAATATTTTTAGAATTATTAGAATTTTCTTCTTTTTTCTGTTGTTAAAAACATATTGTAAGTGTTATCATTCATTTGTAAATAATGTAAATATTACATTTGTCATTTAGTGAGTACATTTCAATTCAATATTGATGCAATTTATTAATTCTGGCGCTTACGTAATACTATTTGGAAAACACATCGCGTGCTTGTGGTCGACTAATGTATGTATATTCAAGCATTGAGGTGTGAACAATTTGCAATTAATCTGCATTTCTCATTTAAATCCTGTGTACGTAATATATAATTACTATATAGGTACATAAATGATTTCGTTTTGATAATAAATTTATTTAAAATATGACTTAATTTGTAATTAATTAATAATTTTGTTAATAACTTCGTTTGTTTTTGTTTATAATGTTTCTATAACTTGACATCTTCAGTATCGAAATAATTCTATATAATTTCAATGGACAAACAAAGATTTATAGAGAAGTTCGAACCTTAGTCCGAAGTAAGAGTATGACGAACTAACTTAGCGTTAACAAAGATTAACTACTAACTAAAAGTTTCAGAGTTTTCTATAAACATATTAGAAAATAATCATATAAACTTATGTTATATATAAATCTATGAAAAAAGTTAGTCTTTATTTTGATATTATGACTTAGGTACTAAAGATTCTGTCAACAAATTCAATCTTTGTTTCACAGTGGCGTTAATTTTTTTTTCAATTTATATCTGTAAAATAAACGCAATTAAAGTCTTATGCACGCAGTTTTCTGATTTTAACACAGCTAGCAACAGATAGCCGGTAGTGAAAAGGTTTTTACTAAACGACATGTCACTGCATGTCTTGGAAACATACCTAACTTGGGAAGAGCCGGCAGTCATTAAAACTTACCATATACGCTATAAGGTATACCAGAGACTATATAAAATTGGCAGAATAAAATAAACTTTTTTTATCTGTACATAAATAAAAAAGTATTTACATGTATATAAATTTAATTTAATTTATTAATAAAACGTAATACTTAAAGTAATCATATCGGATATGCGGGTTTTATAATTGATGTAAAATATTATCATATATCATCTGTGAAGTTGTTAATGCTGGTTAATTATTGTCTGTTGACAGCCGTGACAAAAACGACGAAAGATTTAAATTAACGGTAAAATTTAACGACCCATAGAGTAAAATAAGTGGGAAAGGTTTAAGGAATCAATTATATTTGAAATTATTATAGACTTGCTGATAATTTAAATGGTTTTTTATTTTGATATTATTATGGAAGAATAAATTGTAACTTATTTGATATACGTAAGTCTTTGTTTAAATTATTGCGTGCCTAAACTTACGATATAATGTTTTTTTGCCAAGTCCTTTTTGTGAACATTCCTGTCTTTTTACTTATAAATCTATAATTTCGGAATATTTTAACCTTTCCAGGTTAAGAGTAACTTAAATATAACTGTATTTAGTAATAATATCAAAGTGATCTCCTTTCAGTGTTGTAATTCCACTTACGGTATGATCCGATACCAATTTACCGTAAGCCGATAATTTATTTCTCTCATTACTTTTTTTGTATAAAATTTTAATTGACGTATACTGATTGCTGTCTTGTTATTAACTGTACTGGAAGAATATTCTGGAAAAGGTTCATTATCGTTTTAATTTGTAACGAATATTAAAATGTAATAATTGATAATACATACGGTATTCCTCGTACGTGTTTTAAAGGCAATGATAATTTCGAAAAAAAGAAAAAGCGATCTTTAATATTTGGATATATTTGGATATAAAATACCAAACATTACATTGTTTTTTTTTATTTTTTTATATTAAAACTCTTATAAAAGTTCGTATTTTATCCTACAGACTGAAGTTAATAAGATCTGCTTTATAACAGGAAGGAGGGTCGTTAATAAGGAAGCGATTCGTTAGGTCTATTACAAATAATTATGTAAGTACTTCAATACATATATGAATTATGATAATTATCAACTATTATTTCTGTTTATTATACATATATACAATAGTATATATATATTTTTAAAACAATATTAGTTAAAATAACATTATATATACATATTTAAGTAGGTACTAATTAATGATGAAATTAGTAACAGTTATTACGGCAATGATTTCTTAAGTTTAATCAATGATTTAATTGTTATATTCTTAGGATGTAAAAATTTCATCATTAGATTTAACTCATTATCGTCATGAAATTACTACTAAGTACATACAAACATCTCGTCTTCCCGTGATCACGGTTGCTGTAAAGTAATTGAAACGTAGGGAGTATGTAGTTTTTATCAAAAATAAAGTCGCGTAGTATATCCGCAAAATATTAGTTTCATTTAAATGACTCGCGAAAATCTCAGATCTCATCATCATCGTCATTAACATAAGAATTGTATATAAAAATAAATCTTCTTTAATTATACAATTTTTCGACGAAAAACATAAGTTCTTAGAAAAGACCTCGGTATCAGAGTCAAAATGCGTTAAGAAGATCCGACTTAATAAATATAAACTGTATTTCACTAATTAAATCTTAATAAAATGTCTTTAATTTTGTCTTTTTTACATTAGTTATAAGGAAATAATTACTTGTTTATGCACACTTTAAGTTCTAAGTCTCAATATAGTTCAGAAAGACGAATAGAGAATTAAAACATTGTCTTACAGTAGGAAATTTATATGTATAGTGTCTATTAATATTAAGTAATTACACATGTAATAAAATATACTATAAAAAAGAATGGTTGATATATTATAAGCTTTTAATATAATGGATACATTTTTTTATATAAATAAGACCAAAAAACTATCTAGAATTAAAAAAAAAGTCGTAATCTGTCATACATTTAAATATTAAAACAGTGACATGAAAACGAAGTTTAACTTTTTTAAATGTTTTTAATACATTTAATTTTAATTAAATATCCGTGTTTATTATATCAGATATCCGCGTATTATCTGACAGACAATTTATACTTTCTTTGATCGTCGATCCAATAATCCCGAACGAGTCGAATATTAGTAACATAAGAAATATAATAAACATACATCAATATTATCTGTGTTGTGATACGAAAAGCCTCCTTTATACAATTCTTTTACGTGTCAAAATCGCATGGAACTTAAAAATTATATGTTATTTTTCGTATTTAAAAGTATAACTACAGATATGTATTTTATTAGTGGCCTTCACAGCGAGCGTGAAACATTTAATTCTACATGAATTGCTTTTAAACCGTCCAACCGGTCAGAGTGACTTGTCCATATGCCAAAGGTATGGGGATTTTATTCTTGACGTGTGCTCTTTTGCGTGTCCAAGATTCGGTTACCGTCTGACGCCGTATCATCTTACATTCCATGGAATACCTCGGCGGCGTTATCCCTTTATAGTTGGTCAAACATCTAAGAGTATAAGTAATTGTGGCATAACAATGTCGGCTGTATGATTTGATATGCGGCGAATGCCAGCTGGAGCGAGTATCGATTTATAAAGTATTTTTTTTTAATAAATACTCTTTGGTTGTGCAAAATCTTTTATAACATATAAATCCTTTTTGGTTGGAAATTAGTAAAATCTATAAGTATTACGGGGTAAAACGTGTTTCCATAGAACAAAACTTAAATAATTTCGTTATAATTTATTAAAACAAAGTCGTTTAACAGTTTTAAAATGAATATATACGCATTTAATATTTTTGTAATATCTTTCAACTTCCTTAAAAATATTCAACAAAATCGCACCAAAATACTTAAATAGCCTCAATTATACTTATTAAAATAAAATAAAGGATAATGTTTAAACATATGTATAATTTCAGTGGTCGGAAATAGTCAATGACAAAGTTCTTTTTAAAAAAATATCTGCTTTTTAAGTCAAATGAATTCTGAAACCATGACAATTCTTTCTTAGAGTGATTCTCAGCGAGCAATGAGCTTACCAAGATATGCATTCTGAATCATCTACTCAGATATTTTTTAATCAATCATTGCTTAGCATGAGTATTCATCACACTACAGATGAACCCTTTGCAGTATTTCAATTAATAATCTACGTTAATAATATAAAATGCTTAGATTTATGAGTGAAAAACTATTAACGCCTTGTTTGTAGTGTGACGAAGCAAACTCGAGGTAATGAACTTAACTTCGTAGTATAAGTAGTAGTAGTAACTAGTAATACAGTAGTGATAAAACAGAATTTTTAGAAATTAGTTTCATTAATTTCTTGAAATTTAATGATTTCTTAACTTAAACGAGATTTAAATATTAATTCAACATTAAATAGCAAATCACTCAAATATTTACATTTTTATTGATACAAATGAAGGTTAATGGAAAAATAAATAAATATCCTAAAAACATAATATTCAGTCTCAATATAGTCAAAAAATTTCTAAAATTTAATACTATTGCAAAAATTATTGTAAATAGTCACGATTACTCTTTGACCTAAATAAAATATTTAAGTGTCCCAATTGTATGCGCGGGCGCAGATTATTGCGGCTCGTTCATATTGGAATAGATTACATGCATCAACGCCATTTCCGGTTGTCCATTCACACGGACACCCTCGCTTTCAATTGATGTCATGCGACTGATTTTATGGTAATTTTATCAAAAAAATAACAGGGTGACTTTGATTCATTATGAATTATTCCGTGTGAGAAAAAATTTTATATAATTCGATCAATATCTTGATTTAACTGACGCGTAAACCATTAAACGGTATAATTAAATAGATCTTATTCTGTTTACGGCTACCGATCCGGTCTAGCTGTCTTTTTTCAATCATAAGGTATCTCTGTATATTGATAGCACTTACACGGTTTTAATGCAGGAACTGGTTTCGCGAAGAGCGGGGGCGTGAGAGTGTCCAGTGGGGATATTCTCATAGCCAACGTCACACCTGCACACAAAAGGACAACCTTGGTTACCTATCTGCAAGTTCAGACAAGTCCTCCAAGCAGTACTCGATGTTTAATCGATATTATATTTTTGTATTTTTATTTAATCGGCACGATATATCAGTCCTTTGCCTCATGTATATAAAAAAAACGGTGTTATGCATACGTCACCTAAAATAATTAATTAATTATCTGACCACACAACATAATGCACGACATCATGATCGGTGGATAATATTTTTTACTATATAATTAAGAATCATATTGAAAATTTAAGGAATATTTATATAAAACCAGTCCCTGTTTACCGTAAATAACGGTTCGAGCTACATTGGAATAAATTACTTGTACAGAGGGTGCGAATAATATCTAGATCCAATTTAGTGCTCAATATTCAGTATACACAAATAAATCGACCAAGAAAACGCTCCTTTGATTCTTCTTGAATATTGTTTTTATCTTTTCGTTTATTGTACAGTCAAATTAAATCTATGTTCTTATCTAGTAGGCTTTATAACAGAACTTGTCTTGAAATTTTGTCTTAGTGAGGCAATCTAATTATTCATATTTTCGAATTCAAAAATACACCCAAATAGGTACATACGCACCAAAGGAACACCTCGAGAACTAAATGGAAAAGAAATCAAGTCATATTCTTCGATCTTGTGCAATTAATAGGCGAAAATTTATACAAGTACACCTAAGTATAATGAGCATTAATTTCCATAGATAAAAAGATTGATCGATGAATAGTCATACATATGATGCCAATACTGACTGTTGTCGTGGGAACCGCGGGCAGGTGTAGCTTTTATTATCTAAGAGATGAAGAAAATTCTGCCAGTTTATATCTACATTAACAATTTTTGAGATCATAATCCACTAAAATATCACATTTTTCGTGTTACAATAACTGTATATAATTTTCAGAAAAAGTAAAAGTGAGATAAGATTTTTGCGAGTATTCATTTAAATGAAATTAATACTTTCGGATTTACTACGCGATTTTTATATAAATTAAAAGTAGAAGTAATACTTATTAAAATAAGATTAGACCGCAAAAAGTATTGATACTTTTTAACTGGCTATTCATTTCTTTTTTTTTCTGACAATACAGTCTTTATATCCAGTCCAAACGATAACATATTCACCTTTACCAAACATTACTCCAGACCAATGGCAAGACAGACAATAGAGACAAAAAAAGAATTTAAAACTTATTTACGTCAATTGAACAACATCTAACACATTGTTATTTTGACATCATAAAATGACACTTTAATTTGTATATATGTTTATACTTATATAAAAATTCATAAAAATATTTAATATAAAATCCATTATGGAAATACAGCTATGTTTTGAGACCTTTAAATAATTATAGTAAATAATTAAACTCGTGTCTCAAACTGGTTTCGTTTGTTGCTTGTGCTTATATGATCTTGTAAAGGTCAAGTAATTGGTGCAAAGAAACGAGTACGCTTATTACATTAATTTACGATCAAAAGAATTATCATAAGATTATTGGTACATATAATAAAAATCCAAATAAAATGTTATATTTGGTTAGTATTTTTGAATATAAAATACGTAAACAATGTCAGGAGGTACTAAGAATATAAATATCGATAGATAGTATACGTAAAGGCTTTTGCCTATAATATTAACCACAGATATATAAAAAAAAAACACATCCTGGTCCGGAGGCTCTAAAAGATTGCAAATGAATAAAAAAAGCATTGATTGTGTAACAAACGTGAGAACGGCGAACAGGTGCGTCGCCTGAGGAAATGTTAAGCGGCTTCTGTTCGTACATTAATATTATATAATATTAATAACTCAGTTCATTTACCGAAACCAGCTACCGTTTAATATTATCGTTATAAAATATTAATTAGATTTAATCCAATCGTTTTATAATCACGGTGCTATTTTATGTGGAAACTGTCGCTTTACGCTTTTTGTGAAGTGTTTTTGCATTCCGTTATTAAAATGCAATTTAAATAACTGTAATTGTATGATAAATTTATAATTCTAGTTCACAATTATATGTTATAGTCTGGCGGAAATCGTGAGAATCTTCAACAGGTGTTCTGAGAGCAATTATAATGTTTCTATCATAATTTTACTGAGGATGAGTCTGATATTATGTGAGAATTTAATGTTCTATGAGGTCAAAACACTTTTACAGACTACGAAATGATCACACTCTTAAATCTTTTCATTCTTTCAGCCGAAAGATGTCTACTACACGAGATAGGCTTTCCCCAAGGATCATACTTAAATCTTAGTATACTATATTTTCTAAGACTTCTACCCATATCCCTTAATATAATTGTTTTAGTTCATAAGATCTCTTAAATCTTCTAATCTATTTTGTAAAACTTGTGCTCCTTCATATAAATGTACATATTTTTTTAGTTCATATTCTTTTAAATTTTCTATCAAAAGATAAAGATATATTTAAATTGAAAATTATGGTAACGATAATAAATATACATATTTTGATAATTTTATTACAAAGAATAATTTTGAATTCATTTTATTATCAATGCAAATTTTAAAAAGGTATCATAAAAATAATTATTAGCGAGATAATAAGGAACGTAATGTATTCCAATTTTTTCTTCGCATATTTTCAATATATATCAGACTTGAGTTTACTTAATTAAATACTTAATATACTTAATTTAAATTAATAAATTATTGATTCTTTTTAATTCTATTTACCCCGGAATATTTAAATATTATGTAAATTATTCTTTAACTTTCTTTGTTTTTTTCATATATTAAATAAAAGCGTAAAGAAATTTTAACTCGGAATAATAGTACTGAGGTTGGATGTGACTGTACCAGTATTTATAGAGATATATATTTTTTTTATATATTTATATAATAATGCAAAGATGGATGATATTTTATATAGAAAGAATATACCAATTACCAAGTAACACATTTTTATTTTCAATCCTTAATCCTAGTCTTCATTGTCATATACTACATACGAAACATTAACTGTTATTCATTCATATATCTTCACACTATCGTATAAACGTAGGTTATTAAGTGACAAACGTGGAACGCCTCGTGTGCAGTGTGATGTTGCAAACTCGTGCTAAGCATACCAACGACATCAAGCAAACTATAAAACTGCGAAGTGATTGTACAAGACTCCGTGGGAATCAACGCAGGTGACGGCGCCTGCGCACGTCATGCGTCTTTTTAGCATATTTAATTAAACTTCCTCATACATATAATTGACCAGATAAAATATAATAAAATTTTATTCATTATGCATATATTTTTATTATTTTTATCATAGCATATTTCAATTCTTTCAAAATTCAAGTGATTTCTATTAAATCGGGTTTTAGCTTCTATTGTAAGATGAATGTCTTTCATGATCTAAATTATTTGTGAGCAAATAATGACGCCAATGTTTTATTGTTTATTTGTAAACATCGATATAATTTACAGTTTAAACCGACTGGCTGTAAACATGTAGAATATATAAACTGAACTCAATTCTAGTCTAGAACTAACTGTTGTTATAAATACTAGTTTATCATGATATCATAATTAAAACTAAATTTACAAGATTTACTACTCGTATTTTATAATTTTAAACTACATACTCCCGACGTGGAACATTTTCATCTCGTCTGCCCGTGATCCACGGTTGCTGTAAAACCAAAACGTCGGGAGTATATATCTAGTTTAGAATAAAAATAAACATGTTAAATCTATAATAGTTACAATTAATTTATTACAACACGATTAAGAACACTATTTTTAATAGCTATTATAATGTGGTGCTCTTAACACAGTTCTAATCTAAGTTATAGCAAAATTTTCAGTTCATCTTACTATGTTTTTTTGTTTATGAGACAGTATTTGAAAAGTAATTTGTACATATAGAGGATATCTTATTAAACATATATTTTTTGGAGCACCAATGACCTATTTCATTTATATATTTATATTGAATTATAAAGTAATTATAATACAATATAACTTTTTACTATAAATGATGGTAAAGTATAAAGTAGGTAAAAAATATATAGGAATCGTTTTTCACATTCAATTTGAAAGCAAAAGTTTTGAATTCAAAGTGTAAGCGTCATCTATGACCGGCCACACACAGCTCTATTAATAATGTAACAATTCTCACGTGCACCAGATCCGTACATTTTCCACTGTAACACCGTCTGTTTGTACTGAAAATACATTTACTGTCAGATGTTTGATAGCTGTGTTTTAATGGAGTTGGAAAAACAGTTTCACGTACATCACTAGCCAGATGTAATTCGGTAGCTATGTGTTTCAAGTTTATATTTATTGAGTCTCGTGTTAAAACTTTACGATGTTGGTTGGTGTTGTGTTAAAAAAACCGACTTTTTATCTTTGTATTGATGGTGCGAGATTAATTTGTTGTTTAAATTAAAATCCCTACTAATATTATAAATTTAAAATCCCTACTAATATTATAAATGCGAAAGTAACTCTGTTTGTATGTTACGCTTTCACGCCTAAACCACTGAACTAATTTTAATGAAATTTGGTACTGAGATACAGTTGATCCTGAGAAAGAACATAGGATAGTTTTTATCCCAGACTTTTGAAAGGTTCTCTTGGAAACGCGATATAACCGAACTCCACGCGGGCGAAGCTGCGGGCGGAAAGCTAGTACTAAATATATTTACCGGAGAAGCTGAGGTTTCGGTAATGACGGGAATGTTTTTTGAAAGTCGCCTGAGTCTGGTAATAAATATAGCAATTACGTCCATAATCACTCCAAAGTGACTCATTAACTCAGTTGGATGTTAATTTTGAGTCACAACCGGCTACCGTTTACCGTTCGCTTGGACGACATTCGCACCGATACCGTTAACAGAAATTGTGCAACCAACACATAGCGATTTCAAAAACAGCTTAAAATATGTGTTTAACATTCATTATAGTCAATAAACAAACATTTCAAAACTGTTACATAAATATCAACATATTTAAAAACTAATAAAACTTATGTAAAGGAAGGTTAAAATATGAATAATTTTTCAATTATAGAAGAAATATATTTTAATACTGATTTTTACTATGCCTGTTCTTTCGAAAAGACAAATCCTTGAAGAGTTTTTTGTAACAATTTGCTGAAATTAAACTTAAATTAAATAACTTTAGTAAAATATCTGACTTATATACAGTGGGCGAATGAAGTTACAAGAATAAATACTTATAAATTGAAATATATATAAAAATAGAAGTATCAATTGGAATGCCTTATTAGGTAATGTCTTAATAATTTGAGAAATCACTATAAACAAGTTAATTTCACGCAACGTTTGTACCTTCAATGATGCGTAGCGATTAAAGTCACCAGTATACAAAACCACGGATATCCTTTGACGTTCACCCAACCAATGTGGGAACAGTATAAAAATCACTATCAGATGACCAATTCAACGATTAGAAAAATGTTAATTAAATTAAGATTTTCGTATACTACGAGATTTTTACTATTTTATATCTACACAATCCCGTCTTTTAGGTGAAATTACAGTTTACTGCAATCGTGATCACAGACAGACGAGATGAAATCTCTCTAACTTTTCTTTTATTTACATTTGTACATGTGACAATCTTAGAAAACACATTTAGGCAAACCTTTTCTATATATATTATTATTTATGTATATATAACACAATCATACATAAACATTTGTGTCTTAATAACAATAAAATGAGCTAAGATGTCTCTTGTATGCCTAGTCCTTGAGAAGCACGTTGAATTCATTAAAAATATAATTTCAACTTGTACCATTAAAATATGTTTCACTGTTCTATGTAGCTTGTTTCATATTTCATTTTATAAGTTCCCAAATTGCTGCAAGTCTTCAATCCGAAACTACCAACTGGATTTTAAATCCCATTTTTACTTATTTCCGTTATTCAATATGGACGTAGGAAATAAACCAAACGTGTTCTTTATAAGTACCGCTGGTCGTCGGTCGTAGTATTTCTCCCTAATTTCATAAAACACAATTGCACTTACATTTGTGTTAGACAGACTGCACCAAACAGAAGGTAACAATAGCAAGCACAGATGTGCTATACCAGCTGCCCAGACGTAGGTCAACAGCTTTACCAATGTTCTGCGTTCATACTTTGATTTAATAATAATTAAATATAAATATTATGTTATTTTGGTTAAAAAAAAGTTATTTTAAAGTTTATTATATATTTATATATATTAATTCATTGATATAATATTTTGATTTATATTAGAATCTGATTTTCGTAAATTGATTGAACATTCTACCAGTTACGAACCCAGACGAATCTTTTTTTTTCATATTGTTTTTTGTAAGCAAAAATTTTCTCATACAGCCGTACCAAGATGAAATCTTAATGAATTCATAAATCGGCAGCGTTGACACAATAATAAAATCTATGTTGGAATCAACGTATTTTAGCATCTGTCGCGAGCAGCCGCCGGTGACATGTGCGTGTAAAACAAAACCTACCCCTCAGTACCGAGGGGTGAGATTCCCTTTACCAGGTGAGTCAGAAGCTCAGAACTACACATATGTTGCCACGTGTAGGGAACCCCTTTACAGGTGGTTGTATGAATGAACTCATTGTCGACCCATCCATTCAATACAGCGACGTCCCGCGCGATTTTTGGCGGCAATTCTCATTCATAATACTTTGTTTACGTTCGGTAACTTTTGTAACTTATATTTACCGTTCATTAACGTATAAACAGTATATTTTCTGTGAAATAGTTATCTTTGGAGTTGAATAGTTTTATTTATGAATTATGTTCTGAGATTTTTGCGATAGTGACGTATGTAATTATTTGTCCCACACGATAGTTTCCTTCAATAGTTTCATATATGTACATGATGAAAAAATTGAACTTTAAATATGCAACGAAATGAGTATAAGGAATGTAAATATGAGAACTATTCCCATGATTAAGATTCCCCAAGAATAATTCCGTTGTTCCCCCAAACAGGTGCTTCGTGATTAAGGTCAAGGAGTTCCCATTGGAATGGGTCAATGGTTGCACCTTGGTTCCGTACCCGACGGACCATGGATGACCGTTGTGATAAAAACAGCTTCTAAACTATCAGAAGTTATGCTTCAAGGTGCAATGATTTACATATAAAAATTAAGGAAACTTTTTGCTAATTAGAATTCAAAAAAACACTTAGATTATTGAGAATGCTATATGAAATTAATAATGCTAATATATTTTTCCAGAAACACAGTAATTACAACATCATTACAGGATACGGGAGTCACAACTGTTTCCTCATTAGCGGCGTCCAATCGACGCTTCCGTCACGAGCGTTTTATGTATTCTACAGACGGACGGACGACATTTATATATTAAAAAAGAAATTGCTAATTACGAGTACTCATAATATATGAAAAAGAAATTGCTACTGCATACTTATAAAGTGAAAGAAAGCTAGAATTTTTTTTTTTAATCGAATGAACCTATGCAAATTATATAAGTCCAATTTTTTTTTATCTGTATCTTCATTAAAAAAATTAATTATTTTTTAAGCCATAAATCAGTCATGATGTATTAAAGATAAAATTATTTTTTACACGTTTATTGTTTTCTCACATTCAAATATCCTGTTGTGTAATTCTAAGTATCTCGAAAATAACTTTCCGTTTATAGAGAATTGACAGTAATGAGAGAGGTTATCAAGAGTACAATCATTTATTCAAACAAATTGTTGAATATAAACTAGGCATTGCTTTAATTAAATAAAATCTATTCGATTGATTACTTGTATCTGAGGAATTTAAACTAACCTTTCTTTTCGGGTTGAGAGACAGAGAGAGAGAGTTTATTTTTTTATAATGCAACACCAAAACAAAATGTGATCATATGTGGCTGATACATATCTTGTTTGTGAATTCTAGAGTTAGGAAATATAATTGCAATTGAGAATATTACAAATAATATATTGCCTAAATAAAAACGAAAACGTAATTCGCAAAAAACAATATTTGAATTTATTAAAGGGCTTTTTCTTTACGGTCGATACATTTAACAACCTAAGATTTTTCGATCCGACTTGAATGCATTACAAATGTGATCGTAAAGAAATTTCCCAATTTAAGCCCAAAGCCTAGAATAATGTCCCAATCGAATTTATTTTAAACCAAAAACGTATGAAATTTGTATCCTTACTTATATGTTCGATAATGCGAAGAGCCTATATTTGTGTTAAAATTTAACATCTCCTTTTTCGAATTGGTTAAAAACTATGACATTTCCAGTCTGAGATCAAGAATTCGCGATATTTACGATCTAATATCGCGCGTGACCGCGGTTCGTGAGCCAGGTGCGCGGACTCCTAATTGGCGCATTCCCAGACACCGGCGCGTAATTGGCCATCGTTTACAGAAATTACACTCTGATTGGCCGATATAAATGTCAACGCAATATTAGCTACTTGAAAATTGGTTTGTGAATGTTTTAATCAAATTAACCGGTAATAGTATAAAAAAGAAAGTATTTGATAGGTGTATAGTGCAGCGAATATATGCATTTGTATAAGAATTGAACAGACTTTTTATTCACAGTAATATGATATTAATAAAATAATGCTGTCATAAAAAAAGACCATAGATAAAAAAATCTCACCACATAAATACCATAAACCAATTGTAACGATACAATAATTTTCACGAGCGCGTCGTTATAAATAACATAAGTTATCCAGATAAGGATACAGATAATAAAAAAAAGTACGTTAAGAAAAAAAATCAGTTGTCCGTTTACATCGTGTTCATTTGCCATGAATCCTGTGATTCGCTTTTTACTAAAACCGGTCATTCACCAAAAATCACTAGAGCGAAAATGAAGGAATGAATAAAAAGGTGTGGCAAGGAATCACGCTATGTAGACACCCTACACTAAGACAGAATCGTGATTGCTTGAGTCAGTAAAGAACGAAGGCCAAGGAATTGTGGTGGGTGGTCACCCTAGCAGGAAATCTATGTGATTTAAAAGCAAATTACATACAATCATTAAAATAATAACACATGAAAGAACTTCATCAGATAGCCGTTAAAAATTGTTATTTTCATTTTCTCAATGCCAAATACATTAATATTGAAATAGGCGTTAAAAGACTAAAACGAAGAAGAATAATATTTTAAGG